ATACATGAACAACGGAATTTAGTTTCTTTAATGCTAGATTATCGATTTGAATATGTCCGTTTTAACGTAAAAACAAAGAACGATTATTACTCATCAGAAGTGATTTATGATGGCAATTTTTAATTTCTCGATGATTTATATTTAGTATACTGTGATGTTCACAGAAGGATCAAACGTGATATTCTTTCTGATCAAAATCAAAAAGTATCTGAGATAATAACGTATATGTACAGAAAGAGTATCCTTCCTAAAAATCTCTAAATTCTCGTGTGCTATTGTCATAGTTGAAATCTCATGGGATATTTATGTCTATTATTAGATTTCACATAATACCTCCTAGATCACGCTTTTCTTCTACCGGCAGAACTATAATTTTATCAAGACACTCCGATAAAATAGAGCTTTATTGAGAAGAAATCACAGGTCTAGGATCTGTTTAAATCTCAGCTAGGATAAATCTTGATTTTCATTAGTTTAATATATCTCGACTCAACCAATCTAAACAGCAAGATATTTGAATCCTTTAAACATGTGCTTCTTTTCCTCTATATGACACTTTCGATAGTTATCTATATCAGTTCTAACATCGTGATTCAATCCAATTAAGTTATCACATTTTATTTACATGTCATAAATATTCTTTTCGTAACAATGGCTGGTTTTTTTACGATGGAAAAGAACCTAGTCGCAATTTTAATTAGAAATTTTTTTGTTGAAAGAACGCCATTTTATTGAACCGTGATTCCATCTATCAAAACTACAGTGACAGTTTATGGGAAAGTGTGGTGTCGAAAAAAACTAGGTTCTGATATAAAAAATCGTGAAAAGTCACGATTTTAAATCTTGCGACTCAATTTTATTATATCGAACTTTTTTGAAACTGCGGTTAACGCCAGTTTCTTTGACAATATGGCGTTTCATTAAGAAGAAGACGCAGCCGCTACGAAAAAATTGCTGTTGAGTACAGTTTTGATTCAAATTTTTTTCCTGTGCGTAATTCTTGGTTTTTATATAAGTTTATCAGAACATAATCAAATAAATATTGTCAAAAATTCATCATTTTCAAAAATTGAAGAATTAAATTTAAAATATTTTTCTATATTAAACTGTCCATGTTCACATTTTTTGATGTCATATAGTCGTATAATTTCACTTTCAACTCATTATGATTGAATATGTTCAAGTGAATATGTAAAAGATTATTGGTTATTTTATTTTAGTCGCACAGAAATTCATTTTATAACAACTGATTTTAGATTTGGTGGACTATCTTTTTATAATCTATTAAAGATTTTATGTAAAATGTCTGAGAAAACAATTGAAATTGCAACAACTGTATTTCGAACAAATCATTTATTTAGTTACAAGGAATACTTCATTATATACACAATATTCTATTGAACTATAAACACGTGTAAAATAATTTCAACAGCAAACTATTTCTTCATTTGTTCAATTAATTCATTCAGCTATTCAAAAAAATCAATTGATTGGAGATATGTCGACGAATCTTGGACTGTTATCTATATGTAAAAATGGAATATTTACATGGTTACTTCGTTTTCAATGGCAAGACTTTTATATATATATATTCTGGTTCATATGTATTGTCTAATGAATGCACTCGTCGTGTTGGCTTTTATTTTCAACTAGAGTATTTTCATGATAAAAACTTTATAAAAGTTCTTATTGATAATTATGCTTTTAATGTTATTAGCTTAATTCGACAAGTAGACGATCGTGCTATACGAATTGAATCACTGTCAATTGAAAATAGTTGTTTTTCTCTAAATACAACGATCGATGAGATATTTTCTTAAGTATTTGTCGGAGAATGAATAAATTTAAGTAATTTTATATCATATTATACGCGATGTTAATCTTCACAATGTACTTATATTGTACGAAAACGTTTTCATACTGCTTATATGTTGACGATTATGTTAGCGAATGGAGGAGTGTCCAAGGACTGAGGATTAAAAATTCCTTCACAGTTCCATGAATGGTAAAATTAAAAAAAATTCCATATCGACGATATTTTTTATTCTTACACTCATTTTCACCAAGAAATTTGTGAACATGAATGTGTGGGTATAAAATCTATTTGCAAAAACACATTACTTTAACTTTCATGAATGGAGAAACTAATGGTCAATTCTCGCCATCTCAAGTAATTATCATATCGACGCTGATAGTTTTCCTCTACAGATTAGGAATTCCTATTTGCTAGTTCTTGGACATTGCTGAATTTTTGTCTAATGATCCCTGTCAAAATCAGTATTGTTTGATGGATAATGAAATTCTTCATCCAACACAGCCAATTAGCGATCCAACGTTAGCCAGGAAACGAATCCAGGCAAGAAAAGGTTGAATACAACGCTAATGTTATTTACATAGTCTTCACATGAATAATTTTAATCCTCAATTAGTCGTTCTTAACCCTATTAAAGATTCTTTAAGACATGAAGGACGTAAAATATTAATTAGAATAAATGGAGTTTTGTTTCTCTTTATTATATGATATTTAATAAATCAAGCAAAAACAAGACACCCTTATTGAAACAACTGAACATTATAAAATGCATGGTGTTTCTTAGGAGAAATGTATGGAATTAAATCATTTTCTAAGTGATATATAGAATAAATAAAAACTACTTGATAATAATCGAATTATATTTAGTGATCAATAATCGTGACATTCCTATGAATATGTTGAATTTACAGATGAAGAACATGATGCAGAATATTCTTTACACTATAATCAAATACATCCTGTTGTCGTTTGTACGTGTCGTGTTGGACGAAAATGTGGTTATTATACTTGGTAAACTAGTTCTTGTTTTATTTATCAAGATAAAAAAAAAGATGTGTTGTTCTTTTTTATAAAATAGAAATACATATTTTTTTAAGATTTTTTAAATAACATGAACATCTCTTTGTAAGCTTGCAACATCACGATCAAATAGTTATAGTTGTTTACAAATAACATCTAATCTTCTATTAACATATGATATATCTTTATTTCTACAGAGTTATTCTTTTAATTGTTTTAATTGATGCTGTATCATCTACTGTTATTTTATGTATTATAACTATCTTTCATGGTATAATTAGTTATATTTATCATTATCGAATATATTTAACTTTATTAGAAGCATCCGCTATAACCAATGCAATTCATCTTTGACTTGATCCAAAATACTGTTCTTGTCCTTTAGATCGTTATGTATTTTTCATATTTTTCTTCATTATGTTGTCTTTATCAAATATTAATTCTTCTACGGGCAATTTGAATATCTTATCTAGCAACTACGATGACTAGTCATGTAGAAGGTAAAATATATGGTGCACTATTTAAACCTTGAGTAGAAGTTAAATGTTGTTGTTTGACAACTCAAAGTGTTACTCACTTATCTCGATGCAACTAAAAAACTACAAAACAAAAAAATCGAGGCATTGTAGTCGATCAGAGCTTGGGCAATACATAAGTGACGGAAGTTCAACTTGATATATAGTACTCATCCTATCTAATGATGCACATTCTTGAAATATCTTGGCTATTGAATCAGTCTCACACCTGGTTGGTCGTTAATTATTAATAAGTTCATATTCAAAGTAGGACAAAGAATAGAGATGATCGATTCCTGTCGTATTTATGGAGTAACATCTCCAGCACTCTGTAGAGTACAATTGTTGTCTTATGTTCTTCCCATATTCACATGATTGTCTGAAAATTGTCTCCTTTTGTGCTGAAAGCCAACGTCTATATTTGTCACTTATCTATTTCAACTGTATTAAACGCGAGCTTTTTATTGTTAAAACATTCGTCGGAGCAATTCTCGATGTTCGCATTCAACAAAGTTTTTCTCAAGTTATTCTAAACATACGATGAAATGAATGGCTCAGTAGTGATCATCAACTTTAGAAACTTCATTGATCTGAATGATTCATTATAATCTTGAAATAATTATGGAAAAAATGCTTGTGCTAGTAGAAAAAATATCCTCAGTCAAATATGATTAGTCAGAGTTCAGTAAATGAAATCAAATAACTGAGAACATATCTTGAAACTATTTAAGCATGCTTTTCTTTATTCAATTGTTTTGAGTTTGTCTACGATAATGTATTATATTTTTGTTTAATCAGCTACTTTCGTTGAAGCAATATCTGTGTGTCTATTTTTTGCTATGTTATCAATGTGTTCTATGATTTGTAATTTCTAGTTTCATTTCGAAATTTTTCTTTTCATATATCAATGTATGTATCTAAAATTTGTCATCTTAATAGGCCTTCATTAGGTATCAGTTTCTTTTTCTCGGTTTGCATAATACAAAAATTGAATAATACTGAAATTTTCTTTCTTGAAATAGCTTTATTAATGGTCTGTATATCATTATAATTCTGATTGAAAAGCTTGTGAAAAATACAAAATGTTCGTCATTTCTTCTGTGATATTTGTTAGAACATAAATTCAGGAAAGAAAATGTCACAAGCACTTTAATATGCAAGTCCATCATGCTTTAAACATGGAAAAAAAATTATGAACATGAACATCTCAAAACAAGTTTTTTCCATTGACATTCTCTTACTTTAAACTAGTCTTTCTTTTCTATAGAAGTAAATATTTTAATAAGAAAAAAAAAACGTTGATTGAGAAGTTAAAAAAATTCTTCTTTTTTACTTATTTAATACAGGATGAATGATTGACTTAATTAAAATAATTAATATAGCATTATCATCATGAAAGCAGAAACAATTTTTCAAGAACTAAGGTTTTTTTTTCTTTCTTTCTTATATTAACAATAAACAAAGGAAGAACGATTGATTTGATCAACATAGACCGTCTTATTAAAACTAAAAACATTGTAAACCTATTATAATAAACATATGTATCAATATGATTAATAAATTATCTTTGTCTCGTATTTTTTTTTATGACAGAATTATATGTAAAAGAAAAATTTTATATACATTTGTCAATATTATATCAATCATTGTGTTTATTTTTTCCAAGTTAAATTTCCAAGCTTAATTTGATGATTATGTTTTTCATAGACACGTTCTTTTAGACTTTGCCAATAATTAGCAGTAACCGAACATCGAAATCGTTTAAATATATCATTAAATTCTTCAATTGTCCATTTTGTTTTTATTGGTTGACAAGATATTGTTTGCAGATCGAAACGAACTCGTCGTTGTTTATTGTTCTTTTTTAAATATTTTTCATCATTCATTTTATTGTTTGAAATCAATTAAATAAAAAAAATAATCAATCTATAGTATCTCAATAGGTTGTCAATAGAGATTCTAATATTTATTTATGTATTTTTTTTTTGTTTTTCATAAAATATGTAACACATACATCATATATCACATTAAAGAAAAAAAAGAAAGAAAGAAAGAAACATATTCATATACACATACTGTTCGATGATGACTATTACAAAATAGAAAGAAGCAATAAATAAAAGTAAAAATAAAAGGGAAAACGAAACAACATATTTTATTATTAGAAAAAAAAAATTAGAGACTAAACCATTTAAAGAATAAATCTATTTTCTGTGATATTCATGCGTATACGTTATTTCTATTTCAGAACATACTCAACTTGCATATTAAGATATACCATCCTAAATAAAAAACAAAACAAAACAGAATTGAATATCCTTCAATTTACTTTGTTTTTCTTTATATAAACTTACCAATAAATAATATTAAATACAATAAAAGCAACAGGAAAAAGAACTGCAGAGACAAGATCGACCTTTTGAGAGAAAGAAACAAAAAAACTTCAAAGATAATTTTCTTTTATTTTAACTTACAAATTGTGCACTGTCACGAACAGGTTTAGCAGCGTTCGCAATTCTAGCTGGTTGTGGCAAGACAGACTGTGATATTGGATTGAGTTGTGTTGATGATGCATTTGCATTTGACATAGATGAATATTGTACATGTGAACTAGCATTACCACTCATATTTCTATCACCACCGCTTGATTTATGGACAAGTGTTTCCATTGTTTCACCACTACCCTGTATATCTTCTTTTTTATAAAAATGTACTTGAGCAAGACGATTACCAATAACCTAAAACAATTATATTGAATATGTTTTTTTAAAATAAATTCAATAAAATATCATACAACAAATAAACTTATATACAATATAAAGAAAAAAACTATATATATATATATATCTGTTTGCAAATCATATGAAAAAAAATGATAAAAATAAAAAAAAGACTAAATAATATGATGTGTATAGTGAAAATTATTTAAAACGAAATATAAAATTATTTGTGATAGTATATATATATATGTATGTGAATGAGTGAAAGAAGAAGGAAAAAAAAATAATCTAGTGACTAATTTACTCTCTCAGCAGCAAAAGATGAGCCATTCTGTAGTCTTTGAATCAAAGTTAATTTCGGTGGTCTGTCCGAACTTTTTTTCTATAAAAATAAATAGTATAATAAAAACAAAACACTAAATTTTAGACTATTGTTAATTACAAGAAAGAAATAGAAAATAATAAAATTTTTCTTTTTTTTTGTTTGTTTGTATATAAATAACTTACTTCTTTTGAAAAACGAACTTGTTGTCTTAATTCACCTTTACGTGCAATAACATTGACCAATGCATATTCAAGTAGACCAGCAAATACAAAAACAAGACATGCTGACATCCATACATCAATTGCTTTGATATATGATACACGTGGGAGTTGTGATCGTATACCTAATAAATGAAAGACATATATCATATCCTATATTGATAATTAGCATTATAATAAGCAAAAAAAGCAAAGCAATAAAAAAAGCAACAGGCATTATGAGACTTATCATTTGTTACCTGAACTTTGAGTAGTAACTGTAAGAACAGTCAAAAGTCCGACTGAAATTCTTGCTGGAACCTGAATATATATATTTATTTATTTATTTATTTATTTAATGAAAATATCAATTTTAATCTATTTTGTTATTCTTACCGATTTATGATCAATCCAAAATGAAACAAATGAAAGAATTACAATGAGCATTGATGGTATATAAACTTGAACTATAATAAATAGCATTTTTTTTAATTTTAATTTTCAAATAAACGTGATTAAACTTACCAAGATAATAACCAAATAGACGTTTTAAATGTAGAACAACAAGAAGGCATGTAAAACTGCCTAGAAAATTGATCGTTTTTAAAAGAAAAAGCCATTTCATAAAGAATTATACGAGAAAAAAACTTTCTTCATTTGCACACTTTTGCTGCTTATGTAGATATTAGAGAAAGTTGGAAAGCAACGATAATATAACAAATTATAAAACAAATTATACATAATAAAATGTAGATAAATGCATGTATTAGAAAAATCGGTTGAAAAGAAAAAGGAAAACGCTGGTGCATAAATTATTTTTTTGTGATTAAATAAATGTGCAAGCAAAATGCGCGTGTGTATCAGCTTTGTCATTGAAAAAGCACAAAAACAAAGAATTGTTTGTACCTTCAGCCTTTGTTGTTACAGTAACAATGGAAAGTAAACTTAGTAAGACTCGTGCAGGATGTGATTTATAATCGATCCAAAATGAGATGAATGATAAAGCAACAATCAATGTCGACGGTAAATAAAGCTGTTGGATATATAAATTGAGATTTCGTTGTAATGCTAGATGCACTTCGATACAAGTAAATGTGCCTAGGAGTGGAGTGAAGGAAAACTTAGTTGTAAAAGAAAAAAAATAAGATTCTGTTTTTTTTTTCTATATATAAGCAGCATAATACAAGTGTAAGAAGAATGAAGAAAGTTTTTCTTTTAAATAATGAATAATATGTATATATGTATCTAACCTGTTGCTGTTGTTCGATTACAATACCGTGCTTCATGATTACTTAAAACAAAATCGGGCATTTCTAGATCTTCATTAACTCGAATAGCACTTATATTTTGAGCTTCATCCCAAAAAAATGCCAAATCATTTGTATCGAAACCATCTAATTAAAGACCAAAACATAAATAAATAATTAAATATGCATTATATAAATGACTATTTTTCTTGTCTTTCTTTTTTTCCCTAATTGAAAGACCTTTCTGACATAAATCCTTCTTAGATTTTATAAAGAGAAAAAAAAAAGAAGTTAAGAAGTCTTCCTATTTTAGAAAGATTTAACATACAACTGCCAATGTTGACAACACACGTTTGATTATCGAGTGGAAATTTCTGTAATTTCATTTGACAATCAAGCTTAAGTAAAAGTCTAAAAATATAATAAACAAAATATTCAATATTTAATTAAATGAAAAAGAAACCTTTGACTATAAAGTACTTTTCCATCAAGATGAATACGAATTAACCGATTGGGTACTGTTATATCACTACGTTTACCTTCTTTAGCATTACGAAAAAACGAATCAGGTACCCATATACGATCAATAAGTGAATAATGCAATGTAATTTGTGGTGATTTTTTTGCCCAATCTGTTCCTGAATAATTCAATCTTGGATCATACCATGATTGACGAAAAATCAAATCTGTATTATAATCCTAATCAAAAGATAAAACGTATATATAGATATATATGTATAAATATATAATGAATATCATTTGAATAAAATAAGTTCTACTTTCATTAATGAACATGTCTTACCATGTTAACTTCATTGATAGCTGAAATCGTATTAATGTGTATCGTCATTGTTACATTGCATGGTTCTATAATCGAACAGAATAATAATAATAATAATAATAAAATCAAAGAAAGAAATCACAAATAATCTACTAACTATGTTGATCAAAAAATGGCCGGATACGCCTATCATAATGGCTTGAATTAATGAGTGTATCAAGAAATTCTTCAACTGTTTTTATTGATGCATCATTGCGTAGTAAATTTGCACTAGAAATAAGTGTGAAGATCGTTGTTAAAATATGCAAATCGATACGTAGATACATAATTGGTCGATAATCACGAGAGATGTTAGGTAAAATGACTTTCTTTTTGTATGTCTTTCAACAACGATATATAACATCGATTAATATATGGAAAAGAACATAGCAAGGCCGACAAAAAAAAAATTCTTAATCCACTACCATGATATCATAAACACATACGTCTTTTAATATAGAATCAATAGTAATGGATGCTGACGGTATATTGATGCTAACAATGATGACATTTCGTACCAAAAAGGACAAATAAACACTTATCAATCGTATATCGATATAAAACTTAATTTATGCGAGATGTTTCGCTTTACTGCTTGATATAATGTGGCTTTAATAAATGAATGCTCGTGTGAACAGAATTAAGTTTATCTGACTGGTTGACTGACACTTAGTAACTGTGATATGCGTGTGTGTATTCTCGGTAAAGAGACGTAAAATGCAGAGATTGGCGACAACAATAATGACGAGCACATAAATCCGACAAGTAAAGACGAGCGATAGGAAAAAAAGTGACAAGGAGAAAGACAGCGAGAAGGGGAGAGAGAGAGAGAGAGAGGGAGAGAGAGAAAGCGTAAAAGAGAGATGCAGAGAAAAGACTCAGACGACGTAGAAATTATGGCTCGTCATGTCGTCGGACGGAAATATAATGCAAGGAAAACCTACTTCGGTTTTCTTTTTTTTTTTTTCAAAAAGACAAAAAATAAAATTTAATTGAACGACAAATTAGTTTTTAAATCTAGATCTGACAAAAAAAAAACATTATCAATTATGATATAGAAAAAAACCATATTTATCTTTGCACATTGTTTTTTCTATTCATATTAAATTTTCTTATATAATCAATATCGGACACATTGTCAATACCTAGTCATCACTAATAAAGATCTGAAAGAAAACATCTAATTATCATCAACATAGACATCATTATATTGAGTACCATCCGGTACTACGCTTATATAATCATAATTAGATACCTAACTAGGAAAACATAAGGTTAATATAAGCATTAAATTTTACATTGATCACAGATTTACTATAACATATTTCCGGTGTTTCAATTAAGCTAGTCAATAAGAAGTTTAACATAAGCTGTTGGTTTGTCAATTGCTTTTTAATCCATCTGCTCTTTCATTCAAGAAGTAATAAGGATTCTAGAAATCTTTTTATTATAAAAGCAATCAATAAAGTAACAATCTTCAACTTGATGCACAATACATTTCCTCTATTTGCTTTCTACTTTCTTTTCTATATTTCTAAATTGACTTTTTCATCATTTCTCACGAACATATGAGACAATATGATATTGGAATATCTGGAAAGGTTTATAAACTGTTAATAGGACTTTTAATAGTTTTAATTTACAATAGTCAATGAATGTTTACATCTATACAAACGAAGACATTGAATAAAGAATGTATTTGTTTTTCCTTTCTGTGTTGTCTGAGACGATCTCATGTTAAATAAACGTCCATATGTGGAATTCAGCATTTGTTATGAAGACAGAAAATACTATAATAATGATTTTCTATGATAGAAAAAATAATAACAAGTGCTTCCCTATGGCGAGGTGTTCTTTTTATGTAATGCAACAATAAATTCTTGTTGGATTAAGTTGCTCCTTGATGGCCAAGGACTAACTTTGTTCGTCAACATATATATATATATATAGTCTTTTCTTTTCTAATGGAAAAAGACATGAAATATGCCTATCATACTTAGACATGAAACATGTTCCGAATAATGATAGTTATATAGTAGTTCATTAGTCGCTTTCAAACATTTCTGCACCATACACTTGTAGTTCATAAAAACATGGTTTTTCTCTCCGAACGATTTTCTTTCTAAACTTCCGTCTTAGTTTTGCTTCTCTGTCGTTTACTGTTATTCGTCAATCAATTGATGCCGATACTAGACTAAATTATAAAGAAAATGTTGAACTGAAAGGAGAAGAAAAAAAAAAAGAAAATTTCACTTTGGAAAAATCTTCATTGAATATAATTAAGAAAAGAAAGTTGTCAAAGACCCACCCGATAGGATCATTAGTGATCAAATTCTTCTTGTTTGTTAACTGTTCTTCACAAAACAATGGATATTGAAAGAAAAGTACATCAAGAATAATCACGATTATAATATGTGTTTGAATCATGAATGAAACTGATGAACATTTCAACGCATAAGCATATATGAAGATAGACAATTATCACATAGCTATTGCTGTTGCTCTATTGTTAACAACATCTTTTCTTTACTATATTTTTTTCTCGATTCTTTTCTTGTTTCTGTTCTTATTTATCGAGGTATGTTTCTTATATTATAACTTTTTGTGTTGCAGCTGTTCACAACATCACATACTCAATGAAGAGATTTTTAGACGTTGCCTATTGATCGGAACCTTGCTTCGATTCTTCTTCTTCTTCTTCTTCTTTCATTGTCGGTTTTCTCTTATTCTTTCTGTTTCTCTTTTTTTTCTCGTGTTTTTTTGTTCAACTTTCTCTTTCGTCATGCTCGCTCGTCATGCTCAAAATCAATTTGTATCAACGCTATTCGATTCACAGCAACCAACAGCTAGAGTAAATGATTACGTTGCTTTGTCGACAGTTATTTACAGTGTTCATTTTTTTTTCTTCTTTGCCTTTATAATTTGGAATCGGCATCTTTCTCGCTTAAATCGAAAAATAATAAAGAAATATGGACTCAATATGCACACATTTTAATGAATAGAACGACGACAACGTTGACAAGGGGGCGTGAATGAATATAATAACACCCGTAGAGATTGAGAGACTCATAAAGACTATAATCATTAGCATGAGCATCTTTTCCTACTTTTTTTTTAGCTCGTTAAGGCAAATCTATTTTGCACGCTTATTCTCGCATGATAATTAGAAATAAGCGTTACAAGGCATACTGATTCTTATTTATGATATCGTTCCAAATGTCGATTGCTACTATTATTATTATTATTGATGTTAACTGAGATGGATCAGTAACGAAAGTGACAATTCCCTGAGTTCCTGTTTGTTTGTTCGTCTTTTCATTAGATTCTTTAATATTATAATTTAATCGTGGTCTTCTTCGTTTGTTCTCAATATTATTGTAATCAATAGACAAGTTCCAAAGGCGTATAGCCTCTCTGTGCCTCTTTCCGTTAACGGTCGTCTCTTGATAATTGTCGTATGTTTGTCTATTTTATCATGGTTGCTGTAGTGCTTGGTTCTTACACTGATTAGCATAAGAATGTGTACACATACTGAATAGCCGTAATTGAGTCAATCATAATGCAATGGAACAGACGAATGTTAGCGATATGTTTAAATATATTGAATGTATCATTGAATTTGTTGCGCATCTCTCGGATCATAGTTTTTTTTCTTCTTTTGATGAAATGATGAATAACAAAAAGAAAGAAAACAACAAGCTCAAACGCGACAAAGAGATATAGATATGTATGACAGATTTTAAAAATAATGAGAAGAGAAAAGTGATTACTGTGATCTGTTAACGCTTTTGTGAGCACATTGAACGAGGACATATAACGACTTCAGCGAACTGTAAGTATTATAGTGATGTCGTTTTTTTTGTGAGAATGATGGCATTATCTTAATATACAATTGCATGTATGTTAAGCGACTAGGTCAAGCAATCTTTATTTAATTGCTATACTGTATAATGAATAAGAATTGATTCCCGTTGGTACGTTTCATGCTAAACTATCTTATATACTTTTCTAATAATGATCATAGAAGAATCAAGGTAGACAAATTAATAAACAATCTATTCAAGAATACTGAACATCCGGATTGCATGCATCACAAGCTTCAAGCAATGATTCTATCTATGAACATTTCATCTCTATTTTTTTGTCTAATAATACTAATAATAATAATTACTATTATTGCTACTTCTAAGTTAGTCATATATTTCATCTACTCTTTCAAACAATCGATAGGACAAATAATCAGCATGTAATCTCATATAATTTAGAAAAAAATACTCCTAGATCATTATAGGTTTAAATGTTAATAATAATGAATCTGTTGAAGAAGAAAATAAATGAAATAAAATTACCCAGGGTCTATTTTTAAGGAAAAAAAGAAGAAAATGCAAACTTATATTTTTATTATTCCTAGTTAGTTTTTCTATTATTTTTTTTTATTTCTGTTTTATATCATAAGATTTAAATGTAGTTCATGGCAATATCATTATCAACAACACGAACATCTCATTAGTTTTCATACGAATGCCACTCATAAATATATTTTCTATATTAGTTTAATAAATTTTAAAAGTGCAGAACAGAAAAGTAACAGAATGGGGTGGAAAAGAAATCTATTAGGAAAAAAAATCTATTAGGAAAAAAAAAATCAAAACTCTTAACATACCAGTTAGCAGCTGATGAACGTCCTGTGTCAATCATTTTTTGCCACAATCGATGATTTGGATGACCATCTTGCAAATCAATCATTTCTGTTGACGTAGTTATTGTGGTGACTGATTGTAAAGCCAAAGAGAAGATTTGCTTGTAGATCCAAATGAAATAAAGTAACATTAACAGTTTGAGATGCATGGTACATTACGACATGAATCGTGACTGACTATACGTCAGCCTGGGGATGAATCATTCATCCGTATCATTGATTTTGGTCGTTCATCTGGCTTTAATTTATATAAATTTAAATGTATATATCTATCTGTATTTTTATGTGCAATAGCGGAAGCGAAATAGGTGTCGATAGAAAAAAAATGAGAAAAAGAAAAAAAGAAAGATGAAAAAAAAGAAAAGAACAGACGTGTTGTCGTAACAATGTATCACGCACTACGTAGCAGATTTGCTATTTTATATTTTCATTTTTGTTGATTTCCACATTGCTCTCTCTTTCTCCTCCCCTTTTTTTTTCCGCATTTTTTTCTGTGCGTGTGTCACGAGTCATATAGCAAGAAGAAAAGATCTTCTTCTTTTCCTTTACTATAAATGGGAATAATGATAATGGATAGACAGTGATGATGATAGTGATGATGATGGTGATGAAACTAGTAATTCATCTTTCTTTCTTATCTGATCTTTTGTGTCGCCGGATTCCGCCTTTTTTTACTTATAGTTATCTTTATGGTTACCGCGTCGAAGCGTTGATGCATATTCTTTTACAATAGATTAATAATTTACTAAAAAAAACAATCACTGAACATTTTACATCTCAATGTTACTATTAAAAATAAATGGACCGTTGTCATTTTTCTCGATTGAATTGATATTTTACCTAGAGAGACATATGAGGAAAAAAAAGAATTAAACAACTTGATAGCTATATGTAACATTCGTTTAATTTCTTACGCTTGAACACTTGTCAATTAGTTTCTCTTGTTATTTTTTAACTTACAAATATTCAGTCGATCTTTATACAACAAATCGTTACTTTTGTTTGAAAATATACAAATGTGATGAAAAGAATATCAGTTTATAAATAGTGTTTGAAAAAAAAATCTATTAAAGTAATGACGAACGAAGAAAACGAATACAAATAAAGACAATATTTCCTTGAAAATGGATATAAATAACATAATCTTAGTCTTCTAATGATAAGAAATATGCAGAATCTGTCAAGTGGATGTTTCTTAAAGAACAAAACGAATGCCCATCTGTTCTAAAAGCAATCCATAAAATGCAGCGATCTTTTTTTTCCTCCGTTCATTAATCAATAAAAACAGAAAAATAGGATACATCACAATATGTATGTCGTATATGAAGTTCATCGAATGGTAAATATTGTTGAATGATTTCAAATTAGCTAATGATTTGATGTTTTGCTTATAACTATTTTTTTTCTTGTTCACATAATTATTTGACTATTCTTTGTCTAAAAATCAATCAATAAATTGTGACATGAGTGTCTTTTCTATGAGAAGATAATAGTATTAAGTAGAACAAATTAATAAAAAAAACCAATAAATATTTAGAAGATGAACATACCAAATCAATGACATTAATTTAAATAGAATATGACAGAAGATTTCTATTGAATACGATGCTTTACATTTTCTTATACTATACAGAATACTTATACATATAAAAGTCATTGCTAAGATGTGAAAAAATAATTAAGAAACACATAAGAATTATGCTGATCTGATTTTGAGTATTTTGTTATTCTAGTAATGAGCAGATGAAAATAATGCATTGACGACAGGTCACGAAAGAGAGATTATACAACATACGCATAAAATCTCATATAAGCTTATAATAAAATGAATAAAGTTACGGCTGATAAGCTAAATGAATGTCTATGGCCTCGATCAATACATCTTATGTCTCATCTATGAAGCAATGTGTCATTAAGCATGAATAAAATAAGAGAAAAGAAATCGTTTTTTTCGTGCCCGCCTCACGCCTGTAAGCATCAAATTTTGATAGCATAGTCAATGGTTTGTTCCGTTTTTGATAATGTCTGCTGAATCGAACGGAAATCAACAGTCGCTCACATAGACTCACAATCAATATTGGATAGAAAAAGAAAATCTAGCATTGTAACAATTCAAGCAACAAAAAAAAAAGAACAGCCCATGCAAGATTTATTCGCAAATCAGTTATTGAGAATTGAACTATTTTATATTTCACATTAATATGTTATGTTCGAAATTCAACAATTATTTTATTACTATTATTAAAATAATTATTGAATAATTTATTGAACGGTGAATCTTAGTGTCTTGTCAGAAGATCTCTAGAGAATTCTGTTTTATATGATTTGGATGAATAATTGACATTGTATGTATGAGAAATTTGTAATAGAGAATAAGTTTCTTGTGCTTTGATTCTATAAATAAATGTTTAAATATTATTTCTACAATTAGCAGCTGTCGTCGTTTCTGTTATATTAATAGCACCAGTCTAATGAATGAGTCGACCTTCACCAATGGCAACAAACACTTATAATATATAGGATCCTCTACTTTTTTTTCCGTTCTATCAACATAAAATATCAGGATAGATGATGAGCATATTTTTAATGGTCTCGGAAATAGTAATAATAACAATCTTGTATACTCTCATCATATGAAAAAAACAAGAAATTATTCATATTTACTATCAAGAAAGTCAATTCTAAATTCTATCATATTGACATTTAATTATTTCGTATTCTTTAGTTTAATAGACTTTATTGACATATACGTAAAATATTTAAATAAATCATTTTTTGTGCATAGTATGATATGATATTTTACAATCTTAAATCGAATTGATAATGTAAAAACGATATGTTATATAAAAAAGATTACTGTTAAAAATTCTTTTAAAATAAATGAAAGCATTTTATATATAAGCCAATTTTTTAACATAAAATCCTATATATTTTAATTCGAAAATAGTAATATTATGTTAATGATTAACTATAATATATTGAAAATAAGCTTAATGAAAGCAATTTATTTATTATTATATTGAAGAACTAAGCATAGACAATAACAAAACAAAAAAGAAATCAGTGAGATTGAAGCATAGCCAACGAAAGAAAAATGAAATTCTTTATCATAAAAAAAATACATTCAAGCACACAGAGAGCAACCGTAATATATTTGCTTCGACGGATATTATACTTGATAAAATACTCGGAAGTTACAAAAAAAGAATGAATTGATCAGCCTGCTACATATATATATATATGTCTGTCTATCACAGTTTTATTGGGTTTGCTGTTGTTCAGCAATATTATCAGTAGAATTTGTTGCAAGATCAGTACTTGTTGAAAGTGTAACTGTTTCACCGTCATTATGTGTAAGTGCATGAGGAGATTGTTTGTCAATTTGCATGCGATAAACATATGTATCTTCAGTAGATTCAATACGACCAGAATTTAAATCAAATGATCGACCTTTCATAGCTAACGGTGATGTTGTTGGAGATGGACTCCACCATGACATGATATCTAAATGAATAAATACAAAAAAAAAACGTAGAACGAAACAATTGAAATATTAAAATAATTTTCACTTGAAATAACTGGTAATTGTCTTAAAAGGCCTTCTTGTGCAAGTATTTGTTGATTTTCATTTTGTAAATCTTTTTGAACTTTTTCTATACCCACTTTAATTTTTTCTGCCATATCTTCAACATATTTTAATGATGTTTCTGTTTCTTTACCATTATCAGATATTTTTTGTAATAATACATCAAGATCATCACATTTTCTAATCATTCCTAAACGTAAATAAAACATTGAATCATGTTCATTTGTACCACCACCTAATGAAAATGCTGAATCATTTGCTTGTAATTTTCTTGCTAATTCAGCTTGAATTGTATTTATATCATATGATGATACATTAGACTGTTCATTTATATTAATATCATTTGGTATGTAACGAATAGCTCCAATACCAGCCCAATTAGGCATTGGAATAGAAACAAGATTTTCATATTTAGCTACACTTGATGAAAGACGTGCACGTGCAGTCATTGTAGCAAGAAGAATATCACTGTAACGTTGCATATTATCACTAAATGTTTGAATTTCACTTCCATCAATAACATCAAGTAAATGTTCTAATGGAGCAAATCGAATAGCATGAGCTGGTATTCGATTTGAACAATTATCATCAGATTTTAACATTTGAAACTGAATACCTTTAAGTAATTCTAAATTCATTTTAGGATATTGTTGAGAAAGTTTATCGAATAACCAAAGATTAAGAAGATCGATATAATTATATAAATCATCCAAATTTCCAATCTAAATATATATTGAAATTAAAGATGAATAAAAATAATCCTTATATTTTGATTTAGAAAATTCAAATGAAATATTATGTTTCATATAGATAGAATCCATGATTTCGAGTCGGTAGATTTAATTCTGTTGAAAAAAAAGAATCATTTTTCGATGAATTATTGATAATTCAAACTTTGTACATTACA